ACCTTAATAACCCAGAAAAATCAAACTTTGGATATCACATTAAATTTAATAATCATTCCTTTTCTCCTTCTGAAAACAGTAAAATTTTACACAACATTCCCAATAAAAACTTTAGACTCATGAATCTCTTGGAAGATCTTGAGATATCCAAAGAAATGAAACTAAATCCTGATTGGTGCTTAAACACACAAATCAACCTCAATTGCAATTATAAACCTCTTTTTAAACTATTATGGGAGACTTTAGAGGAAGAAGCATGACCTCATGCAGTCTTATTATATTTGTTCATAATTTTATATTTTTAAACAAAATTTTAAACTTTATTAGAAATTTACAACATTCTGTAATTCATTTGACAGTTATTCTTAATTGAAACATGAAAATATATTTTTTTTAATTTTTATGCAAATTTCTTACAAATTTCCATCAAGAGACACAATTCTCAATACACTTAAGTATCAGATATTGTAACATTAATACCATGTTTCTTCTTTATATTATTGTTGAACAATTTGAGCCCTTGTTTCTTAAGGATGACTGTCAGATTAAACATACATTGACCTTGAGCAATGACTTGAGTGAATTTACAAACTAATGTCATTCTATATGATGTGATGAACACATAAGATTTAATTTAAAAACTTAAAAACTTAATTTTTAGAAAGTCTTTGATGACTATTAGTAATTCCAAACTATTAAATAATTTTGTAAGAATTTAAAAACAATCTCTATTTCCTATATATGACATTTGTCAACTGTCACTTTTGAAAAATCGTTTAAAAGGACCGACATTTGATTTCATTAGTTCTATTCTGTCTATCTCCTCACAGCAAACAATGGTCGGGTTCTTAGACCCGTACCATGACAAAAAATTTTTCAATTTTTTAATGTGTCTGTGAAGTCAAGTGTCGGTTTTTTGTATGTTTTTTAAGAATTTTAACAACTAAAAAATCAATATTTCTACATATAAGGAAATGAGATCTCTCCATTGTAGTGGTATTTGTAAATTGACGTAAGTTAAAAAAATTAAAATCTTCACCAATTAGTACTTATAAGAACATTTTGTTGTAGCATAGCTCCGATGATGGCTTTGTAAAGCCGAAAGCGCTCAGCTAGGAATTATTTAAAATATACACACTTCAAAAAACTTTTTTACCTTTTCTTTTGACTCTTACCTTTGCCGTTGGTCCAGCTGTCTTTCTTCCTCTTTAGTTTTCTTGATCATTGCACTGATATAGTTGGGTATGTTAGTCCAACCTAATTTATTTTCGATCATTTCTCCCACTCAAACAAAATTCACACCTAACTTATTCCAATTCAAATATCAAATTCATTTTTTCTGTCTCCAATCAGTCAACAAGAAGTATCTGCAGTTATAAAAACATTAAAGAATTCAATTTGTTTGGATACTAATGAGCCAAACGCATATTTTAACAATGGCACAAGTGAAATAATTACTAAACCTTTAACACATCTCATTAATAAATTTTTTTTAATCAGGATATTCCAAATTTCATTTAAATACTCCAAGATTCTTCCTTTTTTTAAAGGGCGATCCTCACCATGTAGACAATTATAGACCAATTTCCTTTATTTCGATATTCAGTAAAATAATCGAAAAAATTCTAAAAAAGCGTCTTTTATCGTACTTCGAAACAAATAACTCTTTTGCTAGTTCACAATATGGGTTTAAAAAGGATCGTTTCACAACACATGCATTTTTAGATGTGATGAGTACTATAGTTAATGGTCTTGAAAAGCATAATCACTCTGCCATAACTCTGTGTGATCTTTCAAAGGCATTTGACTGTATTTCTTATGATATTTTTCTAAAAAACTGCATTTTTACGGTATAAGAGGTACTCCTTTGAAACTAATTTCATCGTATCTAAAGGATAGATACCAAACAGTCAAGTACGGAAATTGTCTCTAAATTTAAGCAGATAAAGCATGGGGTTCCACAAGGATGAGTTCTGGGCCCGACTATTATTTATAATATATGTTAATGACTTGTCCAATTTTATGGCTCCATTTAAAACAATTTTATGTGCAGATGACAGTACTTTTGTTTTTTCTGACAAAACTCGTTCAGTTTTAGAAGCCATATCTATATGTAAATTCCAATGCTCAATCATGGTTCTTCTTCTTCTTCTTCTTTTTCTTCTTCTACTGGTTCCTATCCGTTTCGGATCTTGGAAATCATATTGGCAATCATAACCTTGCTCGCTGCGGCTCGAAACAGCTCCGTTGAGGTTTTCTTAAACCATGTTCTTAAATTCCGCAGCCATGATATTCTCCTTCTACCGGGTCCTCGCTTACCTTTGACTTTACCTTGCAATATAGACTGTAGCAGGGAGTAACGGTGCTGATTTCTCATAACGTGTCCCAGATATGGCAATTTTATGCGTTTGATCGTAAACACAATCTCTGGTTCCTTCTTCATTTTTCCTAGAACTTCCTTGTTCGTGATCCTTGCTGTCCATGATATTCTCAGCATTCTTCTATAATGGTAACTTATGGTTCTTAGCAAATAAATTTAAACTAAATGATTTAAAACTCAAAATTTAATTTTTTTGGCAACCTTCGATGTGAATGTTGAAAAATATAATGTCAAATTGTTGGGCATAACAGTTGACAACACATTGACTTGGTATAACTACATCGACCATCTCAAAGGTAAACTTTCTAGTACCTTATTTTTACTCGGACAATTAAAACTTGTTACAAGTGTTGATACCTTAAATATAAAGTACTTTTCTCTTTTCCATTCATTTTTAAGGTTTAGTGTTATTCTGTGGATAACGCTTGCAATGCCCTAACAATATTTAAATTGCAAAAAAAGTAATAAGAATAATTGCAAAAGTTAGCTACTTGAAATCTTGCAAACTGTTGTTTAATAAATATAAAATAATGCCCTTGCCAACATTATGGTTATACAGCCTTATAATCTATTAAAATACTCCTAGATCTATTTAACACAATATATAGAACTGGAATAATACCTAGGGAATGGCTCCGTTCGACCTTTATACTACTGCCAAAAAAGGCAAATACAAAGGAATCCAACGAATATCTTACGATAGCTTTGATGAGTCATGCTCTAAAACTGTTCTTAAAAATAATCCATAATAGGATCTATAGGAAATTAGACGTAGACATGAGTAACACTCAGATGGGATTCAGAAAAGGGCTCTGGACAAGGGAGGCTCTGTTTGCAAAGAACGTTCTCTCACAGAGATGCTTAGACATAAACCAAGAAATTTACGCCTGCTTTATTGATTTCGAAAAGGCCTTTGACAAAGTACAACATGAACCACTAAGATAAATTATAATAAAGAAAAATATAGACAGCCGAGATATTCGAATTATATGCAATCTATATTGGAATCAAACAGCAAATGTCAAGGTTGAGGGCAGACTAACAGAAGAAATTCAAATCCGTCGAGGAGTCCGGCAGGGATGTATCTTATCGCCACTTTTATTTAATCTGTATAGTGAAGCTATTTGTGAACAAGCACTCGAGGAAGAAGATCTTGGTCTGATAATAAATGGTGAGACGATTAACAATATAAGGTATGCTGACGATACAGTTCTCCTAACGGGAACGCTAGTAGAACTACAACATCTCGTTCAAAGTCTCAATATATACTGTAACAGTTACGGCTTGAAAATTAATTTGAAAAAAACTAAATTTATGGTAATCACGAAATCAAAGAACATCACAGCTAATCTTGTAATAGACAATACAACGATTGAGCGTGTGCCCTGTTTTAAATTTCTAGGTGCTTGTATCACAGACGATACTGATCAAACAAAAGAGATTAGATGTAGAATAGAAATCGCTAGATCAGTCTTTAATAGAATGCGCAAACTCTTTTGCAATCGTGATATCAATATAAAGTTACGAATACGAATGCTGCGGTGTTATATCTTTTCTACCCTGTTATATGGAGTTTAGGCTTGGACACTAAAACAGTTAACCATAAAAAACATCGAAGCTTTCGAGATATGGTGCTATATTCTCAGAATATCATGGATGGACCGCGTCACTAACACGCAAGTACTCCAAACTTTAGACAAAAGATGCGAAATTCTAAATGAGATAAAAACTAGAAAGATGGAATACTTGGGGCACATTGTGAGAGGTGAAAAGTACGAACTTTTAAGAAACATCATGCAGGGCAAAATTAAGGGCAAAAGAAGTGTAGGAAGAAGAAAAATATCGTGACTTCGTAATCTACGTGAATGGTTCGGGTGTAGTTCGATTGAACTTTTTAGGCGCGCTGCTAACAAAATCGCAGTGGCCATGATGATTTCCAATCTCCGCTAGGAGTGGCACGAGAAGAAGAAGAAGCCTTAATGTAGAAATACAGTAAAAAACGCTGACACTTTAAATACTCTGACTTACATAACTATAGCGCAAGAGGTGCAAATAACATTAGAACAGTTAAGTATCGATTGAGTAAATCACAAAAAAACTCAATTGACTAATATATACAATGTCCTACCTAAGGATTTAAGACAACTTTTGATGAATAAATTCTGAGAAGAGACCTTTTGAGATTTGCTTTTTACTCTGTTAGTGAATACTTTGATCACTTCAAGGCAGTATCATGAACATGGATGTACCCACTATGTTGGTATATCGACGGTGAGCAGGCAATATGTCCTATCTACAAAAAGTGTGTTTTACAGGAGGAAGAAAAAATCATTTTATTTTAAAAATATTGATAGGGACGAATAAAAAAATAAGTAATTACTTAAATCTTATTACGTAAAAGTGAATGTTAACAAAAATTGATTTATTTGCATTATACATTTAGTGAGTCAGTTAGGACAATTTAAAATAAAATATACATTTTTATAACAGATAAACTTAAATAGTAAAAAGTTTTTAATGATTCTAAACAATATGTGGCAAATTGTCATAGAAAAAGTGACAGTCCGATGGAATGACACTTTTTAGTTCTTGTGGATGTTGCCACTTTAATTTGGAAATTTTACATCGTTCGGTAAATAATGCAGGATATTTGGATATTGTGGGGATCATTTTTTGGTCTTACAGGAAGATCAGTCCAATCTGATTCCGTATGATCAAGTTTTACCTTAATATGTCTTAACGGATTGTAGAAAATAGATCTTATATCCACAACAGTTGGAACGTTTACTATTTGTCCTGGACGAATAGAAGAATATCTTCAAGTTTTGCTATATTCCTTAAAAAAACGGAAATCACAATGAATAGCCGTTATTTGTTAATTTCTTCCGTTATCCTAACTTTTGTTAGAAAAATCAGGTATTTTCGTATCTGTTCTGCTAAACATTGTGGAAAAACTTTAAAGATAATAAAATAGTCAAAATGCCAAATAAAAAATTGATATGAATCTAGTAGACTGCTGTCATTTGGGTATTTAAGGTTACTAGAAGACGTGAATTATGGTTCATTTGTCCGAGTCTAAAAGAATAGACTTTTATTATTATAGACTTTTATATAGACTTTTATTATAGACTTTAATTAGAATTTTAACTATGATTGGTTGTGGTAAAAAAACAAGAGCTCAAAAGGAAGTTTGTGAAATATTAATAATGAATACCCTGATCAACAAGTTTACTGGACCAACTGGCCAATGTTATACTGGACAGGTAAAAAATATTGAAAAACCAGGTAGAAATAATAAATTTATTGATGAAAAAAAGATTGAGAAAAATCCGCATAAGACAACTCGAGAACTTGCCGCCATCATTGATGTAAGTAAATCATATATTTTGAGAGTTTTACATAAAGAAAAATACCACTCCTACAGAGTTCAGTTGGTTCAGGAGTTAAATGAAGATGATCCTAATAGTAGGCAAGAATTCTGTGAAATGATGATGGACATAATGAACGCAGATTTGCAGTTCATAAACAAAATAGTTTTTTTCTGAATAAGCGAAGTTTCGTATAAACGGAACGGTTAACAAACAGAACTGTAGATATTGGAGCAGAGAAAATCCTCACTGAGTGTGTGAGACTCATACGCAATATCCTAAAAAAATAACGATTGGGCTGGTATTATTAACAATAAAATTATTGGTCCTTATTTTTTTAAGGGTGCAGTTGATGATGAGGTTTATCTAGATTTTTTGATTAACTTTTTAGTGCCTACATTACGAAGATTTTTTCCTAATGTTAATCATCCAAATTAGATAGATATCTAATGTTAATCATCATATGGGTTTGAACGCTTTCTAGCTTCTTTTGTGATAGATATGTAATTACTTGGAACTTTAATTTCTCTATTCTTTAATTTTCTCTCAATGCATGTATTCACAGAATCCACCTCTATCTGTGTATGCTCAACTTCTAAAAATTTCTGATGTACTGTTATGTTATGTAACATACTGAAATTTAAAAGAGCATTAGCCATAACTTCATTCCGATTCTGAACAGTGCATCCATCCAAAAAAATTGTTATAGGTTTTTTATTCTCTGTTACACAATATCTTGAAAGAAAATCTAGTAAACAAGAAGTAAATGTTAATGCAACAAGCTGATTATTCTGATCTTCAGAAAACCAATAGCAACTGGCATGTTTTGTAGCCAAATTGTATACTGTCAAGTTGTGGCAGGCAAGCTTGGTCTTGTAATAAAACGCGTTAGTGTGTATAAAGGGAGCTAATTTTACGACCTGAAAATCTAATTCTATTGTGAACTGATTTCCTAACTGAGCTTTACGTTTGTCTTTTTCCATTTCATCTCTCGAGTCCTGTTTACGTTTTTGATGAGCATGCCATGCCTCTTCTGTTATGTTTCCAGTTCGATAGCTACAAAACGTGTTACACTGGTCCTTCTTATTGAAAAACTGAAATATTCTGTTGACTAATTATTTCTGAAAACTTCTTTTTGCCAATAGACAAACGCTTCCAGCTTCGTATTTACTAAGATACAATTTAAAAACATCAGAAATTGTATGAAATATGGGTTCCAAATATAGTTTAGATGAATGTTTTCGAGCGTAGTGTGACGGCATTTTAGGCAGTTCATTTAAAAATTTTTGGAGGAACTTAATTCTCCTTGCTAGTTCTGTTCGGTCACTTACTTGTTTATTGCGCTGATCTGCGAGACGAGGGATGTTATATGAACTTTGTTAATACCATCTCTGAACCATTTTGTAATTGATACCAAGCGTATTCAAAAACATTTGTCGACTTCTTTTCCATTATATAATCTATACTGAAACGTTAAATTGCGTCTAGAGTCATTTCGATCTACAGTGTTTCTCTTTTTCTCGATTTTTATCACATGAGCAGTCACAAATGACTGTTTTTGTCCACTGAGCCAAAAAATAATACCTCAGTGGAAGGTGCGTTCATTGACTTATTGCAGGTTTCCTTCGAATTTTGTGTTTTACACATATTCACTAACTTCTTTCCTCGGTTCATAATTCCTCTGGATCATTTTGTAATATAAATAATAGCAGTCACCCCTAATTTATGTATAAAAAGGATTTCAATTTATAATATGCATAAAAACAAATTGTCCTAACTCCATTTGACACGTTTAACAGACTCCTACTAGAACAACTAATTTTTTGACAAATTATCCTATCTACATAAGTATTAAATTCAACGTTATTTTTAATTAAAATAAGATTTCTATCCAATTCCATATAAATATTACAATGCTCACAGAACTTAAGAATCAATACATACCTTTTTCTAGTAAAACAGGTCACTATTTACACTGATTATACAAAAATAATTAGCACAATGTGCACAGCCACTTCACGCAAATTAAAATGGACGTTAGATAGGACATTTAGCACTCCAAATGGTGTCTGTTTTCAATAGGCCACATTGAAATGCGCAGGTGCCGAGACAATGTTGTCGATTTTCGCAAATATTCCTTAATGGGGTGATAAATAGTCACATTTAAAATTGTTTCGACCAAAAATATAAAAATCGACAAAATGCGAGATAAGACATTTTGCCTGCTCACCATCGATATGTCTTATTTTGTATATTTTATGTTTTATTTTATGTTATGGGCATTTTTATTTATACGTATACTTGACTTGCTACAAACAAATGTAAAATTTGTAAACGTAGTTAAATAGATCTTTATGATGAATCTTAAATCACTGCTCTATGTTAATTTTTATTATATTCAGGAATTTAAAAAAACTCATTAAATGCTTTCACATTTCTAATTTTTTTATCCAATATTACCTCACTTAACAACTATCTATCTTCCTTTTATAAAATATTTAAATTGATTACTATTTTCGCACAAAATTATTAGCTTTAATAATTAATCAAAATAAAATTACCTGTTGGAATTGTATCATGCTATAAGCTTGAACTGGAAAATCAACTTGATTAGCTCGTAGCAAGCAATAACTGTCAAATAGATCTGTAAATACACCTTCTACCCTAAAATAATATTGACTCATTACTTTTATTGACGATGAAAATTGCTATGATGTTTATTTTTACGGTAAGTGCTTTTTACTTCTTTTTCTTTTATAGCGTTTTATAAAGAATTTAAATAATTGCCTGGCAATATTTGTGGTATAGTTGTTAGGTAATTGTTATGTTCGTGAAATGATGGTTTTTATTTAATTTATCGTAAAAAAGTTAAAAATACCAAAATCGTTTATTTGTCGCTTTAGAGTATTTATTTTAAGTACATGCCGATTGGTGGTGAGATACTAGCAAGAATACATTTAGACCAGGGAAGTACCGATTTTTCAATTCTCTTTTATACAGATATCTACAACTGCTTTTGATAAATTTGATGATAGCAATATGTATTAAAAAAAATATGCAATATTATTATTATGTTGTCTATAAGGCAGGATGTATTACTTGAAAAAATTAAACAACTTTTCAATATCTGCCTTCACAGCGCCAATATTCCAACAGACTGGAACAACGCTACTATGATTCTATTACACAAAGCAGGAGACAAAGCAAATTTAGAAAATTACAGACCGATTAGCCTTCTCAGCCATATATATATATATATATATATATATATATATATATATATATATATATATATATAAGTTGTTTACGCGAATACTAGTTAAGAGAATGGAAAGAAAATTAGAGACTTATCAATCAAGGGAACAGGCAGGATTCCGAAAAAGTTACGGAACAGATGACCATCTGCAAAGTATAAAAACCCTAATAGAGAAAGCAGTGGAATACAATAAACCTCTAGTTCTAATATTGATCGATTTTCACAAAGTCTTTGACACAGTTGAGCTAAGCAAAATATTACAGGCGCATAAAGAATGCAGGCTAGATTATATATATACTAAATTATTATACAAAATATACCTGCAGGCAACAACCACTGTCAAATTACATACTAACAGTAATCCCATAAAAATAGAATGGGGGTTCATACAGGAACTCGTTTTGGCTACAGAAAATGTAGGTTTAAATATAAATATCTCGAAAACAAAAATTATGACCAATTTTGTGCCCAACCAGAACATCAGTATTGGTGGGAAAGAAATAGAACTCGTAGATAGATATAAATACCTTGGTCATGAAATTATGATTGGCAGAGATGACCAGACTCATGAACTGAAGAGAAGAGTCGGCCTTGGGTGGGCAGCATTTGGAAAACTGAGAAAAACTTTTAAAAGTGAGCTGCCCACATGCCTAAAGAGAAAGGTATTTGATCAGTGTGTCCTCCCAGTCTTGACGTACATAGCAGAAACACTTACCTTAACAGAAGCAGCAGCTACCAAACTGAGAGTCACGCAGAGAAGAATGGAGCGGTTCATGTTAGGAATAACTCTCCGAGACAGAATAACAAACGAAGACATCATGAGAAGAACCGGAGTGACTGACATCATCGAGAAGATGGCCAGACTAAAATGGAGATGGGCAGGACACATAGCCAGAATAACAGATGGGAGATGGACAAAGAGGTTATTGGAATGGAGGCCAAGGGAAGACAAGAGAAGTGTCGGTCGACCACCTACAAGATGGACTGACGATTTAAGAAGACTCAATAAAAACTGGATAAGAGCGGCGCAAGATAGACGGGGTTAGAAACATGTGGAAGAGGCCTATGTTCAGCAGTGGACTCTTGAGGCTGGATGATGATGATCATGATGATGAAGCCATCACTGTTATTATCAACCCTAAATAGATTTAAGACTGAAGTATGGTCCTTGGTTTCCCCGGATTCTGGTTCTAGATAAAGATAAAATTCTTTATTAAGAAGATTTTTAAGATATTTAGTACACTTCATTAGATCGCGAAACTTTGGCTGACTTATTTTGTTTTTTGCTTCGGCCATGATAACTTTGACGTATTAAAACTTTTCCAGGATACTTCTCAGATATTCTGTATATTCTTGCTGGTTTCAATGAAATTTTTGGTTTTGGATTCTTTTAAAATAAGTCCTTGCAAATTTCGTTCATACGAAACCAATCAGTTTTTTCCCAGCAATAACAACTTTAATTGAAAAAGGTTTAGACCTTCACTGGCGAATTAGATCATTCCATTCTTCTGGAACATCAACAACTACTTGTTTTTCACAAGAAATGAGACTAAAGTTACTATCGCAAGTTAGGTATGAAAGTTCTCATATTGGGTCTACGTGTGTTGTCTCTGATGCTTATTTCAATACATACACCAGGATATATGAAAGGCGGATAAAAATGTAGTTTTTATTCTGACCCGGGAAACCATCAGAGAAAAACCATATTTCATCAATTTTACCAAATATATGATCTGTTAGATAATGAAATATCATGGAAGTTGTAACCTCAGAAACCTTTTTTTGGATGGTACTAGAATGGTCACCAATGGAGACATTACGAATGGCAGCTAGATGGTTGGTAGAGAGAAACTTGGGGGTTCGAAACTAGATTTTGAAACAGGGAATGGATTCAACAGAATAAATAATAAAGATTAGACAAAATAAGATAGATTAGAAAAGACAGAGTAATAGGTAACAAGAGAGATAGGTAAAATTACCAAAGAGAAGAGTAGATAAAAAAGGTGCGCCACTTAAAGTTTTGGGGTTACAAGGGAAAAATTTGGAAACCTTAGAAACGGAAAGAGATAAGGAGAGATAATTAGGTTCTAAAATGATTTAAAAAAAATCCAAAAGAGTAGATTATATAAATATCACTCTTTAATGTTTTAGGTCTATCTCGATATAACTGGCTCTAAAAGTAATAATTGATAGCAAGCACAAAATAATACTAAATTAATTTACAATAAAGTTGCAAAAGTACAGAGACAAGATTATAAAAATTAAAAGATCTAAAATATTAAAAAAAAAACTCCACTAATAACCCTGCGTGGTTGATGTGGAATATATATATATATATATATATATATATATATATATATATATATATATATATATATATATATATATATATATATATATATATATATATAGCAAAACTGGTAAGATTATCGACCGAACCGTAAAAAACAATTTATTGTGTTGGAATATCGGGTATGCGGTCTGTTATTATTAAAAAAAAACTCTTTTTTCTTTTAATCCTCTATATTTCGCTGATTTTTTGTCAGCTTCATCAGGAGACAACTAAAAATTTGAATAAAAGTTATATAAAAATCAGTTTAAATAAAAAGTGACTCACTTACAGATTTAGAGTGGAAAGTATTTAAACAAGTTGAACATAATTTGTTCAAAACAGTACTGACAGTTTTTGTTAAAAGTACCTAGGTCACTATCTAGTAATTAAATGTAAAAATATAAAAACAGAGCAAACAAAAACAACGAAACAATTAAAACACAATACAATTACACATTAAAAATATACAGGGTGGTTTAAAATATAATTGTTAACAGAAAAATTATTTAGACATACTAAGAATATTACAGTAGATATTGCTCAACTGTCCCGTGTCTGCCTTGTAATTTACTGCATAGTTTTCTATATTTATATGACACATTTCCAAAAACAATCTTTTTTTCAAATCAAATTTGATTACTCAAATGTCACGGTTTTACAGCAAGAAAATAATTACAAAAAAAGATTGTTTTTGGAAATGTGTCATATAAATAGAGAAAACTATGAAGTAAATTACAAGGCAGACACGGGACAGTTGAGCAATATCTACTGTAATATTCTTAGTATGTCTAAATAATTTTTCTGTTAACAATTATATTTTAAATCACCCTGTATATTTTTAATGTGTAATTTTATTGTGTTTTAATTGTTTCGTTGTTTTTGTTTGCTCTGTTTTTATATTTTTACATTTAATTACTAGATAGTAACCTAGGTACTTTTAACAAAAACTGTCAGTACTGTTTTGAACAAATTATGTTCAACTTGTTTAAATACTTTCCACTCTAAATCTGTAAGTGAGTCACTTTTTATTCAAACTGATTTTTATATAACTTTTATTCAAATTTTTAGTTGTCTCCTGATGAAGCTGACAAAAAATCAGAGAAATATAAAGGATTAAAAGAAAAAAGAGTTTTTTTTAATAATAACAGACCGCATACCCGATATTCCAACACTATTTATATATATATATATATATATATATATATATATATATATATATATATATATATTCGGTTTTATAACGTCTTACGACGTTGTCCGACTCCCAAACGCCATTGTATTCTGTCTTGAGTTAGGTCTTCGTCCAGATTTCGAGTGCTAATCGCTTTCCTAACTCCCAGGTTCCAGCTCTGTGGTGGTCTTCCTCGTTTCCTCTTCTCTGGGGGTTGCCACCTCATCGTTTTTTTTTTAGGCAGTCTTTCGTTCCCCATTCGGTTGACATACCCTATGATGTGGAATAAATGTTAAAATAAAAAAAAAATAAAATAAGGACCAAACCGCACTTGGTTCACAAGAAGCTACTCGCTTAGCTTTTATTTAAATAATGAATGTTTGGAATATTTTTTAATGAAAATATAAACACTAAAGTTAATTTATAATGTATATTTGATCTACTCGGCTGTTAGACTACTTGAGACACAATGGAAGTGCATATATACACTTACAGATAAATTTCCAGAGATAGAAATACGTCCAAACTCTTAGACGACGCAACCAAAAATCAAGCTAATCTCTTATACTAACAAACTAAAAGTGATCTTCTGTTTCTAAAATTTAAGAAACTGTTTCGTAGAACAAAATAATAACTTTTTTTCCCATCGCTATAAATAAAAAACCTAAATGTTCTTTATTTGGCCTAAATTTGCTTGTTACAGTACTTCTTTTGAGGAATAAAAAAGCTAAAAGATATAAGTATGAAGAATTAGGTCTATAAAGAAACAAAATTAAAGATAAAAAGGTACCGTTATACTCTCATAAAAAACTATATAGGTAAATTACTATTTAAATGGGAATAAGCCACAATTAGAGGTTAAAGTACGTTTATTGACGTTTCAATTTCCACTTCGGAAATCGTTC